AAAGATGAGCCTGAGAAAGCAGAATTGCTGAAGTATGCAAAAGTTTTAAAAGGGTCCCGTTCTAAAATGGGATTTGGCAGGAGATCATCATCTGTTAGTTCCTTCTAACATTTGTGCAAATAAACTTTGCTCAAACAGTCACAGAGGCGGAATCATGGTTTAAAACTCACGACTTCTGAATTCTAATCATTTTATGTTGCTGAGTTTGTACATATTCAATGAATTTTAAAGACAATTAACGAATCCACTTATGCCCATGGTTCAGAGCCAAAAAATATTACATAATCAAAAGATAATTATAGGTAATACTAATATGTAGGCAAAACATCAATGATATAAGCGATTTCTACATCACAACTACAAGCATCGCAATGAATGTGGACATGTTCATCGTCACTGTCAAGCCAGCCATTCCTGCGAATGTTTTCTTCATGTTGAATAGTGCAACGAGCGGGTCTTTCTCCCAAAATTAAAGGATTCTTCACCCAAATAATTTTCAATATCTCTACTAAACTTTTTCGACATTGCCTTGTTATTTTTCTAAGTGCCTCTGTTTCTTTCATGATGCCAATCAACTTTACCCCTTTTTGCTTATATTCACCCCCCCAAAAGACTCCTAATATGCCAATCACATACAATGCCCCAAAGTGGTCTCCGTTTGCTGCTTGTTTCAGAAATTCCATTGCAACTTCAGGCTTATCGTTTTTGAAAAAGTCCATCTGAGATTAAAAACACATTTAAGTATCAGTTACGCTGAATACATGATAAATTCATTTAGACACTTGAATTAATCATGTTCAAATTAAGCACCTAAACAAATGCGGATTTCTTTTTTCAAAATTTTTGAATTGCAAGTATCTAGTAGGAACAAAGTAAAGAGTAAAGTTTAAAATTAATTATTACCACGCCTTTTCTGTATAATGCTTCTGTATTTCCACATTTTCTACATAGCTCCATGAAAGAAGTAACTCCATCTATCTTTTCTTGCGTCTGCTTTTTCCATGAAGGTTCAATCGGAAAGTCTACCAGCGTTACCTTCTGATATACATATCGTTTCTTTGCGACTTTATTAAAAATCTTGCAACTAAAATATCAATTGATTAAAAAAAATAAAATTCTAAATGCTAACCTGGTGAAGAGCGGGAAACAACACATAACAAAAATACATAATCCGTAGATTCTAGAGCAAATGTGTATGCAGAGGATGCAAAATAAAATATATATTGAAACATTAAGAAAATACTATAATGTAGTAAACAATTAATTAAAATATTGACAGAACAGTAATTGAGAGAACCAGTAGATCAGAAGAAAATTAACTAGGTTGTATTCCTACTTATAAATATATATACCTTAGTTTGAGGTTGATTAAATCCTTAAAGGAAGAAGAAGCAACCTTTGCAACAATTTCAGTAAGTATCACTCTGGGAAGCAATAAAATGGAAGAACAAGAATTTTCTTCTATGACTTTGTTATTACTATTTCTTCTTCTTGCGGTCCTCTTCATATTTTTTCTTGAAGAAATTTATTATTACATTACAAACAATGAATGCAATTGAGTTATGTGTTGGGTTTTAAAAAGTTTGAATAGAAAAATGAAGAGTTATGATTTTTCTGAAGAGTTATGATTTTTTTGAAAAGTTATGACTTTTCCAAAGGGTTCTGTCTTTTCTGAAATGTTGTGACTCTTCGGAAAGATTATGACTTTTATGATGAGTTTCAACTTTACCGAAGAGATCTGTCTTTTCTGAAGAACTGTGACTTTTCTAAAGAATAAAATATTTGATTGTTGCGAACTAATCTGTTTTTGTTTCTTTTGCAAGAGGACAGAGATGGATTTTTCCTGCCAGAGTATTATGGTCTCAAGGAGCAAGAAACTGCTACCATGGAACTTCAAAATCAACTAAAAAAACTAACAATGTGGAGGCCTAGCTTTTTGTTCAATGTTCAATGAAAATTTGAAGGCAAATATCAGACTCGACAAATAACGAATCAACTTCATTGTTCAAAGTAAAAAAATATTACATAATCGAAAGATAATTACAGATAATTCTAATATGTAGGCAAAATGCTAATGATATAAGCAATTTCTTCATCACAACTACAAGCATGACAATGAAAATCGACTTGTTCATCGTCACTGTCAAGAGGCCAGCCATTCCTGCGATGTTGAATAGTGCAACGAGTGGGTCTTTCTCCCAAAACTAAAGGATTCTTCACCCAAATATTTTTCAAGTTCTCTTCTAAACTCTTTCGACATTCCCTTGTTACTTTTCTAAGTGTCTCTGTTTCTTTCATATTACCAATCAACATTACCCCTTTTCGCTTGAATTCACCACCCAAGAAGACTCCAATTATGCCAATCACATACAATGCCCCAATGTGGCCTCCTTTTGCTGCTTGCTTCAGCAATTCCACTGCAAGTTCTGGCCTATCGTTTTTGAAAAAGTCCATCTGAGAATAAAAACACATTTAAATACAAATTAGTATCAATTAGGCACCTGAACACATACAAATAAAATTCAAAATCTTGAGTTGTGAGTGTCTAGTAGGAAAAAAAAGGTAAGAGTATAAAGTTTAAAATTGATTATTACCACGCCTTTTCTATATAAGGCTTTTGTATTCCCGCATTCTCTGCATAGCTCCATGAAAGAAGTAACTTTATTTATCTTCTCTTCCTTGTCCTTTTGCCATGAAGGTTCTATCGGAAAGTCTACCAGTATTGCCTTCTGATACACGTATCGTTCATTTGAAATTTCATTAAGAACCTTGCAACTAAAATATCAATCAGTTAGGGAAAAAAAAATTGTTCGTTTAAAAAAATAAGATGTTTATAAATATATATATATACCATACCTTAGTTTGACATTGATGAAATTGTTGAAGGAAAAAGAAGCAACCCTCGCAACAATATCAGTAAGTAACTCATTGGGAAGAGATTCAATTGAAGAAGAAACATTTTCTTTGATCAGTTTGTTATTATTACGTCTTCTTGCAATGCTCTTCATATTTATATTTTTTCTTGAATGACGACTGATCACCATTTTTCTTTGAACAATTAACTTATGACAAATAATGAACGCAATTGTGTTATATATATACGTTTTAACAGCTTAGTTTCTATTTCTTTCAGATTTCCTTCTTTAAATCGGATTTGGAAATTCTTTAGTTTGTTCATTTTATTTTTTCTTCTTATTTCAGGTGAAAGTAGGAAAGTGTGTTGGCGTTACTAGGAAAACTTTCCTTTTCTTATATGTACGTTGTGAGAGGTTTGATTTTAGAATTTTTTATATAACTTTACTACTTTATTTAAATTGTGTAATATTGGGCAGGGCAATGAGTAAAAAAAAAGGAATAATTGTACAGAATAACAAACTTATAATCTAAAATAAATGGAGTAGCTACTGTTTGATTTAATTGCGCCCCATAGCAAACGTTTGCCAGTCGCTTCTCTCCCTCCAAATTCTCGTTCGCCACACTCCCTTTCTCGCTCGCTCCCTCTGTGCTCGCCTCTCTTGCTTTATACAACAAAATTGTATAAATTGTGTTTCTGTTTGTATAAAGCGAGAGAAAATTGTATATACACATGCAAATACATATATATTCGTCCTATACACTTATAATTATACAATAAAAATATTCCCCTGCCCAGTTCTCTTTTGCCTTTCTCTCTTTCTCTTTTTATACAAACACAGATTATACAAATATAATGTATAATTTATGTTTGTATAATGTTTAATTTATGTTTGTATAAAGCGAAAGAGAGAGCAATTTTTGATATACAAATATTTTTGTCAACGATTTATACAAACGAGAGGCTAACAACAGTTTATACAAATGGCCTGCCAACGAAATTATACAAATCTGAAGAGGAGCCAACGAATTATACAATTGCTTCTTTTTGTATATATGTATAGCGAAATAGACATAGCTTTCAATTGTATATGTATAGCGAATTATACATATATATGTTTGCTATGGAGCGCAATTATGCAAACGTTGCTATAACATACAAATATGATTTTTTTATTTGCTATATGTGAAAGTTGCTCTAAAAAAAATTGGGATGGGTTTTTTATTTAGAATTTGGAAATTTTAAGTGGGTCTTTTTGTTCCCTAGCTTCCGAGTGGGCAGTCCATCTAAATTAAGGGCAAATTATTGTCACAGTATAATTGTAGGGTTCAAATTAAACGTATAATGAAACAGAAGGTGTATTTAAATTATTTTTGATAAGATAAAGATATTTTGGACTATTCGGTATTCCTGTTGTCTTATTGACTATTGCAACACTTTACTATAGCAAGTCATTAACTTTTCAGATAAACGCTACCTATATAGATAGAGGTTTGATTGTATAACCACATTCAATTTATATTCTGACATTTTGATAAACATGGTTAAAAATATTTTATCCGTTCACTTTTACTTATTCACTTTAAATTTTATACGATCTTAAGAAATAATAATTAATATGAATATTGTATCTTAATATTCATATTAATTGATATATAATTTTAGATCTTGAAAAATGATTCGAAGAATAAGTAATTAATGTCAGAGGGTAAAACATGATTTTTTTTCTTTTAATATGCTAAAAGTGATAATTACTCCTTATGTTCACTTTTATTAGTCTACTATTTCAAAAATAGATTTTTATTTTTACTTGTCAATTTTAACATATTAAAAAAAGATAATTTTTTTTCTTGCTTTACCTTACGTATTTCACAAATAATTTTTCAAAACCTAATAAGCATATTATTAATTAATAAGAAAATCATTTTTCAAAACCTAATAAACATGTTATTAATTAATAAGAGTAGTATGATAAAATAGTCATATCAATTCTCTTAACCGAGTGTCAAGTTCAAATGTTACAAGTAAAAATGAAAGAAGAGAGTAATAAAAATAAAATATATTTTTAATATAACCGATAAGTAAATTTGAAAGGAAGGACATCACAACAAGGTACATTCATTAATAACAGAAATAAGCAAGGACAACAACACAAGACATCATTTTCATCTTCATCTAAACAAAAACATCTGGGAAGCCCAAGGTGAGAAATCGAACCTTCACCAACAAAGTGAAAATTTAAATAGCCAATCGACTGAGTTACTAAAATTCACAAATTTTGGTTGTATTAGTTATCCAAGTAGGTAGATGCCTTGCATAATAAGCGTATCAGCTAGGACTTGGTTAGCAGCTTGAGATAGATGAATTCCATCCCAAAACACATACTCTGTTGCATTGCTGCAAGTCCCTGCTAACTTTGGGTTGCAAAATAGTGATGTTGTCTCCACTTTACCTGTCCCACAGCACCCTCGATTTGCTACCACGAATCCTAAAAATCACCAAATGATTATGTCAATAACAAAGTTGTACGCAGGATTTTGTATAAGCAGTGTGGAATAGTAGACTTTAATTAAATGGAAAATTACCGTGGTCTGACGGAGAATTGACGAGGTCATACATGGGCTGGAAAACGTCAAAGATAGCAATCTTAAGGCCAGGAAGTTGCTTTCGCAATTGTATTGCAGTTGAATTCATCTTTTTGTTGAATTGTTTGGCATCTCTATTGATTTTTGAGATACAACCACTTTTATGAAATCCGAACATTGTTTTAGCAGCTGGGAGACACCCCAATGGTGGCAATGAAGTAACCCCAATTCTTCTTGCTCCTTGTCCATACAAATCCTGTTTACATAATTAATCAATTAATGTTTTACTAATTTCTGATTCATCAAAGTTTAAATCGGTTTGGGTGAATTAGTTATGAACTTTGTTGCTAATTTATGGCTAAATAGCTTGTTAATCTACCTTGACAAAGCGAGTGAATATGCGGATAAGATAAGAACTATACTGATGAGGAGTAGAAATTTTGTTAAGATAAGGATTGAAGTAGTAATTCTGTAAGAAATCAGCTGTTCCAGCACTTAATATGTAGAGTGCATCCTTTATGATGGATTCCGCTTTTTGACTGCCTGCAACTTTTGCTAGCTTTGTTTTGTACTCCTTGTAATATTGCATCTGTTTTGACAATGGAATTGCATGCTGCATCACCAAAAATAATTGTCAAGCCCCAAATTCAAAATTCGCATTAGATGACTAAAGATGCATTACAACAAAAACGGTCTTTAGCAACAAATCGTTACACTATCTGCCTGTTCTAGTAATATAATGACAACAGTAAGAAGAGAGCATTTGTAAAACTTACGTTGAGGATGGCTGTTTTATCATCATAGCCAGCAGCAGCAGAAGCGAAATTAGTACCAATAAGGAGATTTTTGCCCGATGCTTCAGGGCTCAAATATGCAGCCGGGTAAGTAGTGAAGCCAAGTGCATCAGCTACAACCACATATGTTAGCTTGATAGTAGTAACTAAAAACTAACAGGATCCTACAGAGGCAAATCTAGAAATTGAATCTTTAAATATAAATACAGACTTTGAGCTGAAGTTAATGAGTTCCGGCTTAAAAAAAATTCTCTCTAAATAATATCTAGTGCCTGAATTGGTTGAATGATTTTATACTGAAATAACAATATAGGTGAACAATAGTTGTGTTACAAAACAAAGTTGAATGATTTTCTAAAGTAAAAACTGTTAGTTGAGTGATCGTAACTCATTAAAATTGTCAATACTAAACACTTTAGAGTAGGAATTAGCAAGTTAACTTACCAGTCATATCAGTGACTAATTTGCCATTGCAGAATCTACCAGTAGGTTGATGAGTAACAAAATCCCTTCCATAAGGTGGATAATTAGCCTTAAAAAGAGTAATAATGTAGTCATTATTTCCTACATCAGAAGCTGAATCCCCAAATGTTATGATTGCTGGAACAAGCGTTGTCGAATCTTGAGCACTATTCAAACGGATCGCAGAACCCAACACCACCACCAACAACAATACCAATGCTGGTTTATTATTGTGGATGCCCATTTTCGAAAGATGAATCGTACTATGTGTGTTAGCTAGACACTTGAAAACTATATAATGAGCAGTATGTTGCAAGTCTGATCCCATCAATAATTAAAGGATGAATAGTTCTGCATTCAATACAAGGGATCTGAAACAGCAAGGGAGAACAGACTACACTGGCCCTGGAGCTCATTTATTTCATCTGTATAATTCTATCAGCATTAATTAATTTTCATCAAAGTTTTGAAAAATTGTTGCTTATCTACCTACTTTGGAGCTAAGGCTTTATTACGTTTTTATTAAAATCTGTTTCGACAGTCATTATGATTAAGGTTAGGTATATAATTCTTTCTTGATGCACCTTCCTCGCACAAGGAGAAGATACGACAATTTTATTTTTTTTGTTTGTTGAATTATTGTATTTTGCTTATAGTATGAAAATTTATGTCATTTTAGCCTTTCTATAAATTGTTTAGTTTATTTTTGTTGTTATCTATCTATCTGAGGTTAGGTTCATCCCCCCTTCTACTTTTATAATTTTTTTTTTGGATGTTATAGTTGTTGGAAAAAACGCGGACAAGCACAAAAATATGTATGATAAAGTAATAGAAATAAAATGGGAAAATAATGACATCAAAATTTTTACGTGGAAACCCTTCTAAATAAGGGAAAAAATCACGGGCCAAGAGGAGCAACTGATATCACTATAATAAGGAATTTTACACTGTAGTCACGAATACAATACTCAAAGTGACTACTACACACTCTTTGATTTCCACCTTACTAAAATATCGCTCCCACTCTATTTTTCTTCACAAACAATTTTGTTGTATTGTCTATGGAAAACTTACTTTGCTCTCAAAATGATTTTTTCTCTCTAACTTGGTGTGTTCTACAAATGAGCAAAAATGCTCTATTTATAGAAGGAGAAAACTATGCCTATGTCACGACAAATGTAGCAAATTTCAAAGGTAGGTTGCAAATCTTACCAATTTGCCACCACCCAATCTTTTATTTTCAACTCACATTTGTTGTCACTATTCCTTTTTAACAATTGTTTGTAGCAATTGAGTAGCAAAAATTGACTAATGTAAGAAACATGGGATGGACCTCACAAATCTCCCTCTCCAGTCCCATGCACCAAAAAGAGGTATTTCCATCTTTCTTTAAAGAGAGATCATACCCACAAGTTCTTTGCATAGCTTGAACTTGTCTTTCAGTATCGTTTTGGTCAGCATATCTGCGGGATTTTCATTCGTGTGGATCTTTTTGACGTGAAATGATTCACTCTCCACTTTCTCACGAATCCAATAATATCTGACGTCGATGTGTTTTGTCCTTGCATGGTATATGGAGTTCTTGCTCAAGTCTATTGCACTCTGGCTATCACAATAGACAATATACTCTATCTGATGCAAACCAAGCTCTTAAAGAAATCGCTTTAGCCATATTATCTCCTTGTCGGCTTCAGTAGCCGCAATATACTGAGCTTCAGTTGTAGATAGTGCAACACACTTCTGCAACTTCGACTACCATGATATAGCTCTCTTGAAAAAGTAAACAATTATCCAGTAGTGAATTTTCTATTATCAAGGTCACCTGCCATATCAGCATCTGTATAGCCCTTCAAGATTGGATCTAATGCTCCAAAACACAAACATTCATCTGAGCTTCCTCTAAGATACTTGAGTATCCACTTCATAACTTTCTAATGCTCTTTTCTCGGATTGTCGAGAAATATGCTGACAACACCAACTGTGTGAGCAATATCAGGTCTAGTGCATACCATTGCATACATTAGACTTCCGACGACGGAGGAATATAAAACTTTGGCCATGCTCTCTTTTTCCTCTCTAGCTGTAGGACACATCTTCTTGCTCAACTTCATATGACTAGCAAGAGGTGTGCTAACAGGCTTAGCATTCTTCATATTGAAGCGCTCTAGTACACGTTCAATGTACTTCTTCTGTGACAAATAAATCTTCATTTTATCTCTGAGACGAGTAATTCTCATGTCCAAAATTTATTTGGCATGACCCAAGTCTTTTATAGCAAAAGACTTACGCAACTCTTTCTTTAAGTCGTCAATCTTGGAAGTATTCTTGCCCACAATCAACATATCATCCACATACAACAAGATGATGATAAAATCATTGTCAGATTTTTTTTGTACAAATACACAATGATTTGAAGAAGTCTTCTTATAGCCTTGCTCCCCCATAACAGATTCAAACTTCTTGTACCACTATCTAGGAGCTTGCTTTAGGCCATAGAGACTTTTTTTGAGTTTGCACACAGAATATTCTTTACCATTTACTTTGGACCTCAGGTTGTTCCATATAAATCTCTTCTTCTAGATCACCATGAAGGAAAGTCGTCTTCACATCCATCTGCTCAATCTCTAAATTAAGACTAGCAGCCAAACCTAGAACTGTACGAATCGAGGACATTTTCACAACAAGAGAAAATATTACGTCAAAGTCAATACCCTTCATTTGACCAAATCCCTTAACAACCAATCTAGCTTTGTACCTAGCCTTCAAGTTGTGTTCTTCAACCTTAACTTTGAACACCCACTTGTTCTTCAAAGCTCTCATGCCCTTGGGCAATTTTACCAACGTATAAGTGTGGTTCTCATGCAAAGACTTCATCTCATCTTGCATGGCTTCAATCCATTGATCCTTGTGCTCATTTTTTATGGCCTCCTCATAACATTCAAGTTCTCCCCGTCACTGTGTAAAACATACTCATTGGGTGAATAATGCGAGGAAGGAATCCATTGTCTTGTAGACCTCATAAGCGGAATATTTGATTCGTCCACAACTTCATGAGCAAGAGGATAATCAATAACAATATCATTGTTATTATCAACATTAACATGTCGATTCGATACATGATTATGGGCGTCACCATGATCATCAATCCCAACAACATCATGCATACTTGTGTGAGGAACTTTATCTAGATGAACTATGTCATCAAAATTTGAAAATTCTAGCTTCTTCGCTTTGTCAATATCTTCAATTGTTTGATTCTCCATGAAAAATAATATCATGGCTTCTCACGAGTTTCTTCTCAACTGAATCATATAGCCTGTAACCAAATTCATCAAGGCCATATCCAATGAAGATGCACTGCCTTGTCTTGGCATCTAACTTTGACCTATCATCTTTCGGCACATGTACAAAGGCTTTGCAACCAAATACTCTCAAATGGTCATAAGAGACATCATTTCCATACCAAACTCTATTTGGCATATTACTTTGCAAAGTAACAGTAGGAGATTGATTAATAATATGTGCAGCGGTCAATATAGCCTCACCCCAAAATGAGTTCGGCAACTTTGCTTTAGAAAGGAAATATTTAACTATTTCCAGCAAGGTCTTGTTCATCCTCTCAACCAAACCATTAAGTTGATGAGTCTTAGGAGGAGTCTTCTAGTGTCTAATGACTTGATGCTTGCAGTATTCGTCAAATGGTCCACAATATTCACCATCATTATTAGTACGAATACATTTCAGTTTCTCTTTCAACTGAAGCCTGAAACTGCTTGAAGACACCTAACATTTGGTCTTTAGTCTTCAAGACATAGACCCAAAGTTTTCTCGAGCAGTCGTCAATAAAAGTGACAAAGTAGAGTGCACCACCCAATGTCCTTGTCTTTATTGGACCACATAAATCAGAGTGCACCAACTCAAGCAACTCTGTCTTTCTCGAAGGAGGGTATGACTTAAATTAAACTCTATTTTGTTTACCAGCCAAGCAGTGCTCACACTTTTCTAATTTAGCACTTTTGAAATTCGACAATAATTTTTTCTTGGCTAGAACATTAAGTCTTTTCTCGCTGATGTGGCTAAGTCTCTTGTGCCATAATGTTGAAGAGTTATCGCTCTCAATCGCATTCACCATATCAACACAAGCAAATGCCGTAGTCCAGTATAGACCACAGTGTTTGTTACCACGAGCCACAACCAAGGAACCCTTAATGAGTTTCCATTTTCCATCACCGTTGGTACTAGCATATCATTTATCATCCAAAACACCAACAGAAATCAGGAACATGTTTCGCATTGTTCAAAACTAGTTTTGTTCCAACACTAGTTTCCAAATAAATTGTACCAATACCAACCACCCTAGAAACAATCTCATTACCCATGCTCAAGGTTCCAAAATCACCAGGAGTATAGGAAGAGAAAAACTCCTTCCTTGATGTTACGTGAGATGCGACACCAGTGTCCACAACCCAGCTTAACTCATCACAAGCAATATTTATCATATCCGCATCAAGAACGGTAACAAGATCTTGGTGGTGACGGTGGCTAGGCAATTTTCATTGCCATCTTCTTTAGTTTCCTCTTTGTTTTTGTTCTCCCTTTTCAACTTCCTGCAGAGCTTCTTTGTGTGTCCTTTCATACCACAATGATAGCACTCAATATCCTAAGTCTGCTTCTGGATTTGCTGTTGACACCCAATTTTGGACCTCCACAATATAAATTAATCATCGAACTTCTTAAATTCCAAACAATTTAGAATAATTGACTTCATAAATTTTAAATACTTTTCAAGTCATTTTAAGTAATTTGTCATTTTTTTTTAAAATTCAAGTCATTTTAAGTAATTTGTCATTTTTTTTAAAAAAAATTAAAAATAAATAAATATATATATTCTATATAATTTTGTATATATTTATTATATTAGTATTTGGAAATTGTCTCAAAAGACTTTAGTTTTACCTAAAATATTTGTTTAATTAATTACCTAATTATTAGTTTATAATTAAATTAATTATTTTACAATCGAATTAATTATTTTAAGTCGTTAAGATTAAGAAGCTCGTTAATTAATTTATGAAAATTTATCTTGTTGCAATTTTTAACCAATTGCTTATCCTATCCTTAACCCTTTAAAAGACCAAAAAATGGGCCTGTTCCACAACCCAATTCTTTTAATTAGCAGACCCAATACAATGCAATTCTTATTTCCTTTCCTCTAGCCCATTTCCCTTTGTTCAAGCTAGCCCATTCCGTAACTCTAATTCAAATCCAAGCCCAACTCTTCTAATTTTCAACCCATTCCAAACAACAGCTCAACATCAATTCAATACCCATTCCCATCAATACAATACATACAGCCACAATACATACCAAACCGACCCTACCCGCCCCTG